TTTAACCCGCTGCACCACCAGGGAGGGCCCGATACTCCTTTTTTTAGTGTATACTAGTAGTTTCTTTGTTGTAAATTAACTGCCCATAAGCATGGCTTTATTTCTAATATCTCAATCCAATTCCACATTTGTGTGTCCATTTTTATTCCAATACCACACTGTTCTGACTACTAAAACTTGGTAGTATAGTTTGAAGCCCAGGCATGTGACATCTATATTCTTACTTTGTCAGGATTGCTTGAGCTGTTTGGGTTCTGCATGAACACAGTATTTTCTTTCTTTTTTTTTTTTTTTAAGAATGTCAGTGAGCCTTTTATAGGTATTGCATCAAATCTATATCCTGATTTGCAGAAGATGGCCATTTTAAGATATTGATTCTTGTGACCTATAATTAGGGGATATCATTCTATTTCTTTATGTCTTCTATTTATTTTAACAATATCTTGCCTTTTTTCACTGTAGTTTCTTTAGCTCTTAGGTTTTCTAGTGATTTAATACTTTTTGATGTGATTATTTGCTTTATTTGCTTTAATGAATACAATTGATTGATTTTCATTCTGCCACTTACTAATTTGTTTCTAATAGTTTTTTTGGTGGAGTCCTTTGTGTTTTCCATGTACATTACTGAGTCATCTGCAAATAGTGAAAGTTTTAGTTCTTCTTTTTCCAATTTGGATTCCTTTTGTATCTCTCATTTGCCTGATTGCTCTACCTGGGACTTCCAATGCTACGTTGAATATACTGGTAAAAGTATTTTTGCTTTGTACCTAAATCTTCTAGGAAAAACTTTCCCATTCTCACCACTGAGAATAATGTTAACTGTGGGCTTGCATATGTAACTTTTACTATGTTTAGAGATGGCCCTTTGTTCCCTTGTATTTGAGGCTTTTTACTATAAAAGTATGTTGAATATTATCAGTTGCTTTCTCTGCAATTTCTAGATGTAATCACATGGTATTTACCATTCTTACTGCTGAATTACATTGATTAATTTTTGTATGTTGACACATCCTTACATCCCTGTAATATCCAGTGTCACACTTTGTCATATTGTATAATCCTTTTAATGCATTATTGAAATTGATTTACTAAAATTCTGAGGAATTTTATGAATCTGGATTTGTGTATGTGTGTATTTCTGATGCCCTTTTCTGCTCCTGGTAAGAGAGTGATCTTGG